ATTGAAGCAGGATTATCGTCTGTGATATTAACCCCCTAAGACCTATCTAATCACGTCTAGAGTAAAGCTCTGTTTAGAAATTTTCCTATATGGGTCAGGCTTATGGACTCACTGATTTCATTGCTCCCACCATCCGTGCTGTGCTGCTGGTGGTGAAGGGGTTGGTGTGGTGGGCGTGTTAGCGTAGCATGATGACCTTGTGGCGCACGATCGTCCGCTCGCACAGTTTGGCAGCAGGCAGTCGTGCGCCGGTGACCCATTCCTTGTGAATCACTGAATTTCACCTCCCACTTTCACCTCATCCTCATCCACTGATCTTCTCCTCCCTACTATGATGGTCTCAAGACCTGTTGCCCAGTTGCCCGGCAGCCAACTATCGGTCGCTCAACTTCTTCCGCAATCCTCCTCCACATCAACGACGTCATCTGCTCCTTCGACCGTTACTCCAGTGGCAACATCGCTGTTGGTTGCCACTACGTCGACTCAGCCACAACTCTCAAGTCCTCAGCAGCAGGGCAGCCCCATTCAGGTGGCAACGAATTCCGCTTTTCGACCCATCGTCCCGCACACGTTGTCGCCAAACGATGCGAGCGCCATCGGTGGCGATTCGTTTTTCCTCTCCGCCATTCATTCGTTCGTGCTATCGTCTCCAAGCGATGACTCTGCTAGCGACTCCAACCATTCGTCGTCAGATCGAGGTAATTACTCTTTTTATGTTTGATGTTACTTTAACCTTTTGGAAACACTAATTATAGAGCAAAACTTTGAAAATTTCGAACTTATTTCAAACTTGCATATGACGATTGTCTGAATTTATATTTGGTGTGATAGAAAAGTGTCCTTGATCATTTCACGTGGTCATCAATTTTTTTACACCCAGCTCTCAAAACGTCTCATGTTCTGAAGTAATCAAAGTCTATATGTTGATTTTTTGATCACATTGGGTAGCATCTTTCGTTATTACCTCTTTATTATTTTCCTTACTTAAATATCGGAGTTTTAATTTCATTGATTTTTGAGCTTGTGTACGTATCTACCCGAAAAAAGTCGAAGAGCAACGCATAAATCTTTCCTCATCAATCAGCCAAGACTATCTCATTGTATCTAATAGTGCTTCAGTACTTCTGCAACTGCCGTTGTTCTCTGTCATCTAACGAGCAGCGCCCATTGCGTTAGAACGAATTTTTGTGAATTTCCCACTTGATTTCTGAAATTGGAGGCCAATCAAGGCCTCCAACAAGGCCAAAGTTTGACACGGTTTCTCGTTTCACTTCGTTCACGTTTGCCCATCGCTGTCCGATTAGTTGCCGGTATAGAACCGCATTTATTACGAGATACGATTAACTCCCTTTTCGGTGGTGTGATTGCGTGTTCCCCTAGAGCATTAGGGTCATAAAGGGGTTGCGCGTATTTGATCTGGAATTTTGCAGAACTATATTTGTAGTTCCATGTTTCTACTTCAAATGTTCAATGGATCTAGAACAAAACATCAAAACAGATTATCGTTCTGTGCAGTAGGGGTGAGTCAGTGTGAAGGCTAACGTTAGCCTAGTTTTACCTGAGATATTTATGCGGCGTATGACGTTGGTTGCGACGCACAAGCGTGTTTACGTCCTAAATAACACATCTGCACTTGCGATGTTGTGCTGTTTTTTCGGGTCAGTCGTCACACGGAGGGCATCGCCGGCACAGTGGCGATACTTGTCGAAGTGTCTGATTGAAATCAGCTCGGCCACTGATCGAGGCGAAGTCCGTTGGAAACAAATGATGGGTACGGTACGGTTGCGAGCCTTCACGAGTGAAG